GCTTCGTCTCACCGGCGGCTGGCTCGAGCGCCCCCACCGCCGGTGGAGACGAGGCGCGGGAAGACGAATAGCTCTGCGGGAGGCGCCGCTCCCCTTCTTAGGAAAGACAGCTGGGGCAAGGAAAGGGACCGGCTCAGAAACAAAAGCATTACATTGCTAGGAAATCCGTTCGTTTAGAAGGAACTCAGTGGTGCAAGGACTTTCTAGATTTCTCTCGGCTCCCACAATCGTTAAGAAATTATTAGCTTACAAGAGGGAAGCAAGGCCTTCAAGGTGTTTGCAGCATTCCAGGAGTGAAAGCTCTCAGAAAACCACCAGGTTTTGCAGGAATTGCCATAAAGTCGCAGGACTTGGCAATGCTGCTGTCTCAGAGACAGGACTTGGCATCGCCCATTTTTTCATTTACACACCCTGCCAGCGAGGCTCCAGCCCGAGTGAGTTATTACAATAATTAATAGCTAGCATTTATGCATATTCAGAATGCTTTGCAAACAATACCTAATCTCATTACCTTATGAACTGTCTTGTTTTCATCCTGTCATGGAATTAAGATAGTTACTGCTTCCTTCACATCCTTGGGAGACGGAGTCAGTAATTTGGTTGTAGACTGGATAACCCATTGCTGCTGTCCAGTATGTAGCCACCCGCTCTGTATTTTTAATGCAATATATAGCCACCTGCTATGCATAGTTTCTAATTGTTAATAGACTGGCAGACTGGTGAGAATATAGGTACCAGGATCCAGAGCATCAGGATCCAGAGGCCCAGATTGAACAAGTGCAGCAGGCTGGAAAGGTGGTACTTGCTTTTAAAATGGTGGCAGGGAAATAAGGCAGGAAGGATTTGAGACGCTGTAGGCACAAGTTTGACAGTGAAGCAGAAAGGCATTACCTTCAGGTACAGCACCATTTTCCCAATTTTAATAAAGCTTTGTGCCTAGAAAGAGAACATTCTTTCCTCTTGTTTTTGTTGGTGGTGGTTTGTTTGTGTTTTTTTTTCATACCACAATAATCTGGCATAGTGTCAAACCCATTCTGAACCAAGATAAATTAAAGGAAAGGAAAATGCCAAATCCCATCATTCTGCAAAGTTTTCAGCAGGTGAGTCAGTGAATGGAAAGAATGTTCCACCAGATTTGGAACCACAACAACTTTTAATGCAGAAATAAGAAAATATTGTAGGAAGAAGAAAAAAAAAGAAAAAAAAAAGGAAGTAAAGACACCTCAGGAAGGAAGAAGGAAGTTCCCACCTCAGAAGGGGAAAGCAAAGGTAAATTTTTGGTAAGCTACTTGCCTTCACTAAAGCAGGAGACAAACTACTTTTTCACATAATAACAAGCTTCTCGGCATTAGTTAAGTGGTGAATATAGGGTTTGAGTGACACATTTTGACAGACATCTTACAATTCTCTCATTAAATGTTTCCAGAAAAACTACATAGTGGGTTGTGAGGAAGAAGCAATGTAATGGACCAAAAACTAAGAGAGATGAAACAGGAGAACATGCATAGTTGTTAATAATCATGGTGAAAAGCCAAAAGAATAAAGTGTTTTTAAGGTTTTGTTGTAAATACCCTTAAAAATAATCTAGGTAAAAGGCTGTACAGAAGGAGACAACATTTGTAGAAGACAAAACTACTCACAGTTGTTGGGCAGATTGTGAAGATACTTGGAGTGGCCCAACTGTGTAGGAAGACATTATAGTGACATTCAATATTAATAAACAGTCATTAGTACAAGACAGTACATACTGGAGGGAAGAAATCTGGTTATGTGTTGTAGAGGGGTTGAAAACAAAGGTACTAGTTTAAGATATATGAGTGCATCCTAGGTAGGAGTTCACTAGAAATCTCAGTATATGAACAGTCATGCATGCAACATTTCAAGGTATGAAATGGAGAAAACCAGAAAATGTTGGCTGCCTTGCCAACTTAAAAAGAATGAGTGGGAAGGAGAATGTATGTTAGAC